TCTTCAAGGACCAGGTCTTAAGTCCCTTTCGAGGTTTGTGGGGGACTCCGCCCTGACTTTCAACGGTCGCTAAGCGAAGCGTGTGACATCAAGGCCTACTTGCAGTTCTGCAAAGGGAATGCCTGATGGTCAGCAGGCCAAGAAAACTACATTTCCCAGCATCCCTAGGGAAGGGGCAGCCCCCATTCCTTTGAGAGGGGGGCCCTGAAGGCCCATCCCCCAGGTCCTATTATAATTATAATTAATTATATATTATATTATACACACACACACACACACACACACACACACACACACACACACACAAATTTAAAGCTGTCACGTGACCTCAGTATGTGTATGTGTGTATATATGTATGTATAGTAATATATATATATAATATTTATATATATACAGTAATATATATATGTGTGTGTGTGTATGTATATATATATATATACATATGTGTATGTATCTATGTATGTATCTATGTGTGTGTGTGTATGTGTGTATGTATATATGTATATATGTATGTATGTATGTGTATATATATGTATATATGTATATATGTATGTATGTATATAGTAGTAGTAGTAGTAGTAGTAGTAGTAGTAAAGTTGAAAGGGACCTTGGAAGTCATCTAGTCCAACCCCCAGCTCAGGCAGGAAACCCTATACCATTTCAGACAAATGGCTGTCCAGTCATTTCTGTCCAGTCTCTTCTTAAAAACTTGCAGTGTTTATTTAATTATAAGTATATAATTAAATGTGTGTGTGTTATACATTTAATTACACACACACACACATATATATATATACATATTTAATTATACATATATACATACACACATACACATACACACACACACACATATATATTTAAAACCAAATAAACGTGAGCACCAGGGAGTACTATAAAATTTTAATAAAATTTAGTAAAACACCAATAAAATTTCAATAAAATTTCAATAAATCACCTAGCTTTCATCGGCGTCTGCTGACATCATCAGGGCTCAAGATGCCGGTCAGTAGGAGAGTCCCCTTTATAGGATGGTCAGGATTTGCACCCGGCTCTTAGATCTCGTCACCGGGCCTGATAGAACAGCATATTCCATCAGGCCCAGTGACGAGATCTAAGAGCCGGGTGCAAATCCTGACCAACCTATAAAGGGGACTCTCCTACTGACCGGCATCTTGAGCCCTGATGATGTTAGCAGACGCCGACGAAAGCTAGGCGTTTTATTGAAATTTTATTGAAATTTTATAATACTCCCTGGTGCTCACGTTTATTTGGTTTTAAGTATGGATACACCCAGGGATCATATTTTTAGTTAATTACTAACATACATACATACATACATACATACATACACACACACACATACACATACACACACACACACACACACACATATATATATATATATATATATATATATATATATATATATATATATATATATATATATATATATCCCACAATTTTAAAGCAAAAAGCTCAAAAACGAAGATACGCTTAGTTTATCTGGGTGAAAAAAGGTCAAAGAGCCTCCCCCCATGATTCCAAATGGAACATCCCATCTCTCTACCTCCCCACCCTCCAACCTCCACCCCGTTGGTCCCACCGTATGGTTTAGCACACCGAAGGCTTTGGGGCAGCCTTTGACAGGAAAATGTCCCATTCTGTGACGACAAAAACAGGACACAAAGCAGGGACCAGAAACGGGGGACTTGGGGTCCCCCCCCGAAAATCTGAAAGGACCCCAACTGTACCGTCCAGCTGTGAGCCCCCCCCCAAAATCGATTGACCTTTGGGGTGCGAGTCCCCCAAACCCTGCCCTGAACCCCCTTTTTTTTGCAGAATGGCAGAGCAGGATTGGAACCCAGCACTGGGACCAAACTGGGTTTTATCTCTAAGCCAGCGGTTCTCCACCTGTGGGTCGGGACCCCATTTGGGGTCGAACGACCATTTCACGGGGGTCGCCAAACAACGCCGTCCGCCATTTTTTTCCCCTTTTCCTTAGCTGTGCTCCTCCCTTTTATTCTACTGGCTTTTGAAAGCCAATAGAAGAGACCCTCTTGAATAGAGTCTCATTCTATTGGCTTTCAAAAGCCAATAGGAATTGTCCAGGCTGTCTCTGCCCTGCTGAGCCCGCCAAAAGTCCCGTTCTGCAAACGGGGCTGCACCAGTTGAGTAGTCCTCGACTTGCGACCAGTTGAGTAGCCCTCGACTTACGACCGGTTGGGGGTCGCGGCATTAAAAAGGTTGAGAATCACTGCTCTAAGCAATCCATGCACAGCTCCCTTCCCTGCCATGCTGTCTAACATTGTAATGTGTATATGGGGGGGGGCAGCACTCCGCAGAAATCCAGGCAGTCTTCGACTTACGACGGTGTGTTTAGTGACTGTTTGAAGTTACAAGCCCGCTGGGGGGGAAAGGACCGAGGACTGCTTTTCACGCTTACGACCGTCGCAGCATCGCCGCGGTCACGTGATCAAAATTCAGACGCTTGGCAACAGACTCGTGTTTACGACGGTCACGGGAAGGAAGGAAGAAAGGAAAGAAAGAAGGAAGGAAAATGGGGATGGATGGATGGGAGGGAGGGAGGGAGGGAGCAAAGACTGGGAAGGAAGGAAGGAAGAGGGAGGGAGCGAGGAAGATAAGAAGGAAGGAAGGAAGGAAGGAAGGAAGGAAGGAAGGAAGGAAGGAAGAAAGAAAGAAAAATGGGGATGGATAGATGAATGGGAGGGAGTAAAGACTAGAAAGGAAGGAAGGAAGGAAGGAAGGAAGGAAGGAAGGAAGAAAGAAAGATGGGGATGGATGGGAGGAAGCAAAGACTGGGAAGGAAGGAAGGAATGAAGGAAGGGAGGGGCAGGGAGGAAGGAAGATAGGAAGGAAGGAAGGAAGGAAGGAAGGAAGGAAGGAAGGAAGGAAGAAAGAAAGAAAGAGAAAGAAAGAGAAAGAAAGAAAGATGGGGATGGATGGGATGGAGCAAAGACTTGGAAGGAAGGAAGGAAGGAAGGAAAGAAGGAAGGAAGGAAGGAAGGAAGGAAGGAAGAATGAAAGAGAAAGAAAGAGAAAGAAAGAAAGATGGGGATGGATGGGATGGAGCAAAGACTTGGAAGGAAGGAAGGAAGAGGGAGGGAGCGAGGAAGAAAGGAAGGAAGGAAGGAAGGAAGGAAGGAAGGAAGGAAGGAAGGAAGATGGGGATGGATGGATGGATAGATGGGAGGGAGGGAGGGAGCAAAGACTGGGAAGGAAGGAAGGAAGAGGGAGGGAGCGAGGAAGATAGGAAGGAAGGAAGGAAGGAAGGAAGGAAGGAAGGGAAAGAAAGATGGGGATGGATGGGAGGGAGGGAGCAAAGACTGGGAAGGAAGGAAAGAATGAAGGAAGGGGAGAGGAAGGGAGGAAGATAAGGAAGATAGGAAGGAAGGAAGGAAAATAGGGATGGATGGGAGGGAGGGAGCAAAGACTGGGAAGGAAGGAAGGAAGGAAGAGGGAGGGAGGGAAGGAAGGAAGAAAGAATGAAGGAGGGAGGCAGGAAAGGAGACAGTGGACATAGAAGGGAGGAGGAAGGGAGGGAGGGAGGGAGGGAGGAAGGAAGGAAGGAAGGAAGGAAGGAAGGAAGGAAAATAGGGATGGATGGGAGGGAGGGAGCAAAGACTGGGAAGGAAGGAAGGAAGAGGGAGGGAGCGAGGAAGATAGGAAGGAAGGAAGGAAGGAAGGAAGGAAGAGAAAGAAAGATGGGGATGGATGGGAGGGAGGGAGCAAAGACTGGGAAGGAAGGAAAGAATGAAGGAAGGGGAGAGGAAGGGAGGAAGATAAGGAAGATAGGAAGGAAGGAAGGAAAATAGGGATGGATGGGAGGGAGGGAGCAAAGACTGGGAAGGAAGGAAGGAAGGAAGGAAGAGGGAGGGAGGGAAGGAAGGAAGAAAGAATGAAGGAGGGAGGCAGGAAAGGAGACAGTGGACATAGAAGGGAGGAGGAAGGGAGGGAGGGAGGGAGGGAGGGAGGAAGGAAGGAAGGAAGGAAGGAAGGAAGGAAGGAAGGAAGGAAGGAAGGAAGGAAGGAAGGAAATCTATTCTCCAAAGCCCCTGAAGACAGGACAAGAAACAATGGATAGAAATTTGAGAAACATCCTGGAAATTAAATTATATATATTCAGATCTTTTTACATATATAAAAGGGAGGGAGGGAGGGAGGGAGGGAGGAAAGAAGGAAGGAAGGAAGGAAGGAAGGAAGCAAGGAAGGAAGGAAGGAAGGAAGGAAACCAACCTATCCTCCAAAGGGCCTGAAGGCAGGACAAGAAGCAACAGATGGCAACCGACCAAAGAGAGAAGGCAACCTGGAATGAAGGAGAAACTTCCTAACCGTGAGGACAATTAACCAGGGGAACAGCTTGCCACCGGACGTTGCGGGGGCGCCAACACTGGAGGCTTTGAAGAAAAGACTAGACGGTCTGAAATGGTATAGGTTTCCTGCCTGAGGCAGGGGGTTGGACTAGATGACCACCAAGGTCCCTTCCCACCCTGTCCTTCTCTGATTTTGTAAGGGTCTCCTGCTGCAGCTGCGGGGTTGGACTAGATGACCTGCAAGGTCCCTTCCAACTCTGTTATTCAGAGGAGGAGGAGGGGGAAGGAAGGAAGATGGGGAGGAGGAAGAAGAGGAGAAAGGAGGAGGAGGAGGAGGAGGAGAAGGAGGAGGAGGAGGAGAATCTCCAGCTTGAGCAGAAGCTGGACTAGATTAGAAGACCTCCAAAATCCCTTCCAGCTCTCTTCCGATTCACATTTTTAAAAAGCTCCATTTTGAAAGAGAAATCAAAGGATCCGGGAACTTGATGGCCTCGGCACCAGATTCAGGCGCTAGGTGAATATTTTGCGCCCGCCAAAGATTCCTCCTCAGTTTGTTTGTTTGCTTGCTTACCTTGGCAGAACAAACGAGGGGGGGGAACCTCACTATTTAAAAAAAAGCACACAGTCCTCGACTTACGACAGTTCGTTTAGTGACCGCTCCAAACTTACAGCAGCCCTTGCGACCGTTTTTCACACCGACAACCACTGCAGCATCCCCAGAGTCGCAGACCCTTGGCAACTGGGTTCGTCTTGATGACGGCGGTGACGTCCCGGTGTGTGTGTGTGTGTGAGACCCGGTCCCCTTTTTTGGGCAACTTCTTGGCAAGCAAAGTCACTGATTCGCTTAACGACCGTCTCCCTAACCGAACAGCTGCGGCGATCGGCTGAACGGCTGCGAGAAGGAAGGGCAGGAAACGGAGTAGAATTCGCTTCAGAAATGTCTCGTAGGTCGTACGTCGTACGTCGTACATCGAGGAGTACCTGTATTAAGGGCTTTTCAGAAGACAACACAAATACAGACACACACACACACACACAAACACACCCGTTCAGGGTCCTCGTCCCCTCCCCGTTAGCTAAAAGGGGTGGGAACATGACATTCATCGCGCAGCGGTATCCCTACGACGTCCGTCCTCTCCCCGACATCGGAGCGACTTATAGACTCCCGTCGCCCTGCACAGACTCTCGGTGTGCAGGAATAGCCGGGATTCGCCATTCCAAACCGATTTCCCGGGAGCCCCCTGTCCTCCCCCCCCCGAAAAAAATTTGAAGATGGGGAGAGGCGTCAGTCACCGGTCCAAGACCCGGGCAAAGTCCTCGGGGGCCGTCGCGTTGCCTTCGTTTTTGAGGTCGGCAAACACCTGCGTGAAGTAGTGCGGGTCGGCGTTGATCCGCAGCATTTTGGCGCTCATGGCGTGGATGATGTGCAGGCAACGGTTCCAGAAGACGTCCTTGGTGGCCTCCACCAGGAAGGGCTTCAGCGGGTAGGAGATCTCGTTGCCCATGTAGGAGTAGGACAGGTAGAGACAGGTGAGTAGGGAGGCCTGCAGGTCGTGCTCGTTGCCCACCAGGTCCCCGTCGATCATCTCCCGGCACAGCAGGTAGACGAAGACCACGTTGGCCGGCGTGACGAAGGCCTGGTCTTGCCAGCCTTGCAGCAGCAGGGAGCGGTCCACGCTGCGAAGCCACAGGATCGGCTCCGTGGGCGAGAGGTGCTTCAGGCGGTAACACCGCCGGCAGAGGAACTCGCCGAGACATTTCAGCAGCTCGCTGGTGGACGCCTGGACGATCACGCGCCGGGGCGACGAGGCGCTGCCCACCAGCCCGCCGGGCTTCAGCGAGGAGCCGGCCGGGCCTCGGGTGGCGGCGAGGCCCTTGCTACTCAGCGGCACCAACGGCTGCCCGCCCTCCTCGTAGCCGGCTAGATTGGCACAGGAGAGCGACTTCTGGATGTTCTCGTGGTTGAGGTGGGCCACCTCCTTGCCCGCCGGGAAGTTCTTGCCAGGGAGGGCCGCGCCTTTGGCCCGGGAACCCCGCTTCTTGGTGGAGGCCACCAGCCTCTTCCAGGTCAGCGCCGGGATAAACATGGAGGGTCTCTTGAGGGTCTTGTCCGCCTTCTGCCCGCTGCCCTTCGGTAGCGGGTAGTGGGCCAACGAGCTGGCGGACCCCTCCTCGGGCAGGCTGGATTTGCCCCCGCCGCCGGGAGAGAGGGACAGCACGGTGCCCATGGCGGAGGAGAAAAAGGGGGTGCCTCCCGCTGCGACCCTCTTGGCGACGGCGGCGTGGGTGGTGGGACGCGCCCAAACCCACCCAGCCTGAGCACCCTTGTCGGAAGCGACCTCTGCTCAGCACACCGTCCGTCGGAGCGCCGGGTTGGCACAGCCTGGCATGGCAAGGAGGGGACCCCCCCCCAGCCTCGGGAGCGCCCAATCAGGGGTCCCCGGCCTGGCGCCCCCCTCCCCGCCCGAGGCTGGCGCGCTTACATAGCTCCGTGTAATCCGGAGCAGCGTGGGAAGCCAATCCGGATCAGGAGGGCCGGCCAGAGAGAGCCCAAGCGCTACTCCGGGGTGAAGCCCGACCTGCTGCCTGGCGGCTGGCCGCTGGGCGCCCCGAGCATCTCTCTCTTGTCTCAGTCCGCCGCCGATGAGCCGCTGTCCGGCTCGGCTGTCCCGTTGCGACTGCAATCTCCTCCGCCGCCTCCGTCCCTTTCGCTCCAGACGCCACCCCGTGGGAAAAGCCCCGCCAGCTCCTTTGCCTCCGCTCCCAGCCGGGTGCAGCTGCGCAAAAGCGCGCCGCGGCAGCCGCGCGGTGGGCGAGGCGTCGGAAGGGAGGGAGGGGGGAGGGGAGGAGGAGGAGGAGGAGGAGGGGGGATGCGGAACGCGCGTGGAATTGCAAGGGGGGGGGAGACCAGGGCGCGCCTGCCTCCGTGGAGGATGCTTTAGGGGGGGGAGCGTGGATGCTGAGGGATGGGATGCAGGAGGGATGCTGAGCGTGGGAATCTGGGTGGGCAGGCGGGGCGTGGGAGGGAAGGGTGCCCTCTCTCCTCTCCCCCCCCCGCCCTCCGTGGAAGGGAAGGCGGCAGAGGAGAGGAGGGAGGGGGGATTCCCCTGGAGGGGATTCTGGGTGGGGGTGGGGTTTGTCTGCGGGGGGAGGGGCTTCCCACTCCTCCCTCCTTCCTCTCTCCCCCCCCCCGTGGGTTAGGGTCTTGCGCGCCTGGGCAGGAGACCGTAACCGAATCGTGGAAGGAAAGGGCTGGAAGGGACCCTGGAGGTCATCCAGTCCAGCCCCGTGCTCGAGCAGGAGAGCCTGACAGCATCATAGAAGAACAGAGCGGGAAGGGAACCTCGTAGTCCAACCCCCCTACTCAGGCAGGAGACTCTGATGGTAGAAGAACAGAGTGGGAAGGGACCCTGGAGGTCATCCAGTCCAGCCCCCTACTCGAGCAGGAGACCCTGAGAGAATCATAGAATAATAGTTGGAAGGGACCCTGGAGGTCATCTAGTCCAACCCCCTACCCAGGCAGGAGACCCTTCCAGAATCATGGAATAGCAGAGTTGGAAGGGGCCTCAGAGGTCATCTAGTCCAACCCCTGCGCAAGCAGGAGACCCTGACAGAATCATAAAATAACAGGGTGGGAAGGGACCATGGAGGTCATCTAGTCCAACCCCCTGCACAAGCAGGAGACCCTGACAGAATCATAGAATAATAGTTGGAAGGGACCGTGGAGGTCATCTAGTCCAACCCCCTGCCTCAGCAGGAGACCCTTACAGAATCATAGAAGGATTGAGGGGATTTTACTATCTCTCCCCCCCACCTTTGTATCTGGGGGCTTCCAAGCAGGAGAAGGCGGGGGGGGGGAAGTCTCTGTTTTTAATCCCCTGCAGGATTAAACTGAACATTTCATCGTGGACAGTCTCCTGCTTGAACAGGGGGTTGGACTAGATGACCTCCGAGACGCCTTCCAACTCTGTCCTTCTATGCTTCTGTAAGGATCTCCTGCTTGAGCAGGGGGCTAGACTAGATAACCTCCAAGGTCTCTTCCCACCCTGTTAATCTATTTTGTAAGGGTCTCCTGCTTTAGCAGGGGTTGGACTAGATGACCTTTGAGGCCCCTTCCAGCTCTTTCATTCTATGATTCTGTAAGGGTCTCCTCCTTGAGCAGGGGGCTGGACTAGATGACCTCCAAGGTCCCTTCCAACTTTCTCCTTCTATGATTCTCTAAGAGTCTCCAGCTGGAGGAGGGGGCTGGACTAGATGACCTCCAAGATCCCTTCCAACTTTCTCCTTCTATGATTCTATAAGAATCTCCAGCTGGAGGAGGGGGCTGGACTAGATGACCTCCAATGTCCCTTCCAACTTTCTCCTTCTATGATTCTATAAGAGTCTGCAGCTGGAGGAGGGGGCTGGACTAGATGACCTCCAAGGTCAATTCCAGCTCTATTCTAATTGATTGTAATTGCGTCAAGGTGACCTCCCTGGATTTGTCCCATCTCCTCTTAAAGCTGGTAGGGGTGGGGAAAAATCTCCCAACTCTTGTGGCGGTGAGTTCCACGGGCGAATGAAATGCACAAAAGCACCTTATGCAAAAATTAGATGGGTGAATGAAATATTTGGAATACATTTTCGGAATCGGAAGAGAGCTGGAAAGGACAGCTGGGAGATCCCGTGATCTAAATGCCGACGCTTGGGAACTGCCTCGTATTTATGACGGTCGCGGCCTCCTGGGGTCACGTGACTGCACTTTTGGGACCTTCGGATCAGCAAAGCCAAAGGGTGGGTGCTCCCATCCCTGGAAGTTTCTAAGAAGAAACCAGCATGAGCAGGGGGCTGGACTAGATGACCTCCAAGGTCCCCTCCAACTTTCTCCTATGATTCTATAAAAGTCTCCAGCTGGGGGAGGAGGCTGGACTAGATGACCTCCAAGGTCCCTTCCAACTTTCTAGGATTCTATAAGTGTCTCCAGCTGGAGGAGGGGGCTGGACTAGATGGCCTCCAAGGTCCCTTCCAACTTTCTCTTTCAATGATTCTATAAGAGTCTCCAGCTGGGGGAGGGGGCTGGACTAGATGACCTCCAAGATCCCTTCCAACTTTCTCCTTCTATGATTCTATAAGAGTCTCCAGCTGGGGGAGGGGGCTGGACTAGATGACCTCCAAGGTCCCTTCCAACTTTCTCCTTCTATGATTCTATAAGAGTCTCCAGCTGGGGGAGGGGGCTGGACTTGATGACCTCCAAGGTCCCTTCCAACTTTCTCCTTCTATGATTCTATAAGAGTCTCCAGCTGGGGGAGGGGGCTGGACTAGATGACCTCCAAGGTCCCTTCCAACTTTCTCCTTCTATGATTCTATAAGAGTCTCCAACTGGAGGAGGGGCCTGGACTAGATGGCCTCCAAGGTCCCTTCCAACTTTCTCTTTCAATGATTCTACAAGAGTCTCCAGCTGGGGAGGGGGCTGGATAGATGGGGCCACTGGACTTGATGACCTCCAAGGTCCCTTCCAACTTTCTCCTTCTATGATTCTATAAGAGTCTCCAGCTGCTGGACTAGATGGAGGGGGCTGGACTTGATGACCTCCAAGGTCCCTTCCAACTTTCTCCTTCTATGATTCTATAAGAGTCTCCAGCTGGAGGAGGGGGCTGGACTAGATGACTTCCAAAGTCCCTTCCAACTTTCTAGGATTCTATAAGTGTCTCCAGCTGGAGGAGGGGGCTGGACTAGATGGCCTCCAAGGTCCCTTCCAACTTTCTCTTTCAATGATTCTATAAGAGTCTCCAGCTGGGGGAGGGGGCTGGACTAGATGACCTCCAAGATCCCTTCCAACTTTCTCCTTCTATGATTCTATAAGAGTCTCCAGCTGGGGGAGGGGGCTGGACTAGATGACCTCCAAGGTCCCTTCCAACTTTCTCTTTCTATGATTCTATAAGAGTCTCCAGCTGGGGGAGGGGGCTGGACTAGATGACCTCCAAGATCCCTTCCAACTTTCTCCTTCTATGATTCTATAAGAGTCTCCAGCTGGGGGAGGGGGCTGGACTAGATGACCTCCAAGGTCCCTTCCAACTTTCTCCTTCTATGATTCTATAAGAGTCTCCAGCTGGGGGAGGGGGCTGGACTTGATGACCTCCAAGGTCCCTTCCAACTTTCTCCTTCTATGATTCTATAAGAGTCTCCAGCTGGGGGAGGGGGCTGGACTTGATGACCTCCAAGGTCCCTTCCAACTTTCTCTTTCTATGATTCTATAAGAGTCTCCAGCTGGGGGAGGGGGCTGGACTAGATGACCTCCAAGATCCCTTCCAACTTTCTCCTTCTATGATTCTATAAGAGTCTCCAGCTGGGGGAGGGGGCTGGACTAGATGACCTCCAAGGTCCCTTCCAACTTTCTCCTTCTATGATTCTATAAGAGTCTCCAACTGGAGGAGGGGCCTGGACTAGATGGCCTCCAAGGTCCCTTCCAACTTTCTCTTTCAATGATTCTACAAGAGTCTCCAGCTGGGGGAGGGGGCTGGACTAGATGACCTCCAAGGTCCCTTCCAACTTTCTCCTTCTATGATTCTATAAGAGTCTCCAGCTGGGGGAGGGGGCTGGACTTGATGACCTCCAAGGTCCCTTCCAACTTTCTCCTTCTATGATTCTATAAGAGTCTCCAGCTGGGGGAGGGGGCTGGACTTGATGACCTCCAAGGTCCCTTCCAACTTTCTCCTTCTATGATTCTATAAGAGTCTCCAGCCTGAGCAGGGGGCTGGACTAGACACTGGCCTCCTTATTTTTGTTTTGTTGTTGTTGTTATTGTTGTTGTTATGATGTTGTTATTGTTGTTTTGTTGTTGTTATTATTTCATTTTTATCCTTTCTTATTTTAGTCAAGAACTCAAGGCATTAAAACATATCCAACACCCTTTCCTCCTATTTTCCCCATAACAACAATCTTGCGAGGTAGGTCAGGCTGAGGAAGGGGGGGGCTGGCTCAAAGTCACCCAGCTGGCTTTCACGCCTAAGGCGGGACTAGAACTCACCATCTCCTGGTGATTGGCTCAAAGTCACCCAGCTGGCTTTCATAGCTAAGGCGGGACTAGAACTCACCATCTCCTGGTGATTGGCCCAAAGTCACCCAGCTGGCTTTCATAGCTAAGGCGGGCCTAGAACTCTGTCTCCTGGTGATTGGCCCAAAATCACCCAGCTGGCTTTCATGCCTAAGGCGGGAACTAGAACTCACCATCTCCTGGTGATTGGCCCAATGTCACCCAGCTGGCTTTCATAGCTAAGGCGGGACTAGAACTCTCCGTCTCCTGGTGATTGGCCCAATGTCAACCAGCCGGCTTTCATAGCTAAGGCGGGACTAGAACTCTCTGTCTCCTGGTGATTGGCCCAATGTCACCCAGCTGGCTTTCATAGCTAAGGCGGGACTAGAACTCTCCGTCTCCTGGTGATAGGCCCAAAATCGTCCGGCTGGCTTTCATGCCTAAGGCAGGAACTAGAACTCACTGTCTCCTGGTGATTGGCCCAAAATCACCCAGCTGGCTTTCATGCCTAAGGCAGGAACTAGAACTCACTGTCTCCTGGTGATTGGCTTAAAGTCACCCAGCTGCCTTTCGTGCCTAAGGCGGGACTAGAACTCTCCGTTTCCTGGTGATTGGCCCAAAGTCACCCAGCTGGCTTTCATAGCTAAGGCGGGACTAGAACTCAGATGACCCTGGGAGGTCGCAACTGTGTTAAGTCCATGCCAGTTGCCAAGGCTCTGAATTCTG